TATTTAAGAACTCTGTTGCTAGAACCCCACCCCCACCCCCCCCTCATTACATATTTTTAGTTATCTTTGGCACATATTTTATTCGACTTTAAACGACCAACTATTTGTTTTCAATCAAAATGCTTCTGATATTTGAATTTTATTTATAAGAATAAAAATATACGGACCTAAATAAATGTTAGCCGGCAACTTTTACAAAAAGAAAAGAGAAAAAGGAAAAGAGAAAAAGGAACAAATTCAAGCGTGGGCAGGGGCATATTAATCTGATGCAAATTATTTATTAGTGTTGCTTAATGTCGAGATCATGAATCTGGGGGATCTGTAATAAAATATAAAATTTAATTATTGATTATCTAATCTTAGGTCATTAGTTGCTTCGACCATGTTTTAAGATCGAGATGGAAAATTAATACATTATTTTATGCCTAAGTATTGATGATCATCATACAAAGCCCAAGAAGACAGTTGTTGACATAATTTATGGTCGGTAGATCGTCACTAATCACAAGATTATTTAATTTGTTTCTGTATTTTTGCTTTGCCCCCTAGTAGGTATGTATAACATTGAAATAACAAATAAAAAAAATAATGGAAAAATAACTAGTAAAAGGTTGTCGTGGTTTAGTTTCTTATAGCATATAGCATAGAGTCCACTTTTAAATATATAGATGATGTAATTTCATGGTCTAAAAAAAGTAGGAAATTTCTAGATTAGAATTTGGAAGTATGTTTTTTCGTTGAGCACGACGAAGGACAAAGGAAAATAAACTTCTTAAAATTAAAAGTTTTTATGGTCTAACTTTCTTCTGGAAAAAAAGTATTCGAGAGCGCTCTTTATAATTTTAATTGTGCTGATGGAAAGTAGCATATATCTCGTGAAATAAGTTAAGATACGTGCAAACTGATCAAAATTCACAGTTTATAAATTTAAAAAATAGGAAACACATTCACTCTTTTATTTTATTGTTAGAGTTTGTGAATACAACTATTTCAAGGGCATGGTCTGATGATGCATGCATGTTTAGATTTCTGTTTTTACTTGATTTTGCTATTCTAAATTTGTCTTTCCTTGTATGATTCGTTTTGTTTAAAAATAATTATTCCCTCCGTTCACTTTTACTGGTCCAGTATTTTAAAAATAGATTTTTACTTTTACTTGTCACTTTTAGCATATCAAGAGAAGACAATTTCTTTTTTCCTGTTATACACAGGGTGTTCATAAAAATCCGAAAAATCGAACCAAACCGAAAACCAATCCAAACCGACCAAAAAAACCTATACTTTTTGGTTTGGTTTGGTTTTGGTTTTGAATTTTAAAAACCGAACCATGAACACCCTTAATACACATAGTATTAATAACTCATTTTAAATTATTTTCTCAAATCCATTAATAATATACATCAATTAATATGGGTATCGTGGTAAATTATGCACTTCATTTATTATTTCTTATGGGCAGTGCAAAGCAGTAGCGAAGCCAGGAATTTCCTCAAGGGTGTTCAAACTTGAAAGAAGTGAAGAAAAGTTCTTGACAAAGAGTGTTCAATATATGTTATATACCTCTAAATCCTAATATTTTACCGATATACGCCATGTAATTTTCCGATGAAGGGTGGTCGGTTGACCACCCTTTATATCATGTACCTTCGCCCCTAGTGCAAAGTCCATAGTGGACAAGTAAAAGTAAACAGAAGGAGTAGTTAAGCTAAAATTAGTTACTGGTATATATTTATATAGCAGATTTTAGTTCACAGACACTAAAATAACAAAAGAAATAAACCAAAACGTCATTTCCTGGTCTACTTAAGTTTTGATCTCCAATACTTCACGTAAGATAAATATTGAATTACACGTCTTTTTCTGGCGAAGATAAGAAAAGAATTTCATGAATAAATCCAACAAATTTTATGGGGGAAAGATGGTAAAAGTAGAAACGTGGAAACAATGGAAAGAAAGGAAAAGATGAAAAAGAAGTAGGAGAAAAAGGTAAGAAAATTAAATAATAAGAAAGAAAAAGAGAGTTCATTGCATGTGATTCACCACTTAATCAGTAACATCAATGAATATAGCCATATAGTTAGACCCCTATTTATTGTAAATGCAAGTTATTATCAAATCTACTTTTCTTTCAATTTGTGCATTTATTATAAGCACTGCCATAAATCATATAGGAATAGCTAGAAACAACTACTATTAGGTAAAACCGTAAAAACCTATCACTTTAATTTCATGAACTTAAGTCAACTAAATTATCACCAAAACATGTAGTGCAGTGAATGTGACTGTTCTTCCCTTAACCAGAGATTTCGGGTTGCGTATGAAAAAATCCTTGGTAGGAAGCGCTTCCCCCCGAATAAGGCTCTATACGACGCGAATCTGAATATAGTCCGGCTCTAATGAAGGTACCGGACTCCGAGTGGGGCCAAAAAAAAGTCAACTAAGCTTACATCAAATGATCTCATGTTAAATTGCATAAATTACCACTCCAGAAAATAACAAAAACACAATGAATACAAGTTTATAAAAATGGAAAAAAGCAATAAATATTATCATTTGTCTTCTACTACTATATATAAGAGCATACGTAATCTAAGATAACTCAATGGTCAAGAAATCACAACCTAAATCTGTGAAACCTAACATGCTCACCACTAATTAATAGTATTCGGTTGAGATTTCCTGTGTAGCAGGTACCTGCTTTATTTTTAAGATAACAATTATTTTTTATAAATTGATGGTGTATATATAAGTTAAATTCTTGAAAATATAATACTAATAATAATAAAAAAATTAAAAAGAAAAAAACAAGTAGGCAAACTATCAGAAGCTCACCCTCGCAGAAACCGCCAGCTTTCAACTCCCCAGGGCCAATTGAAAAGGAAACGTACACATAATACACAGGAGTAACTATATCTATATATTTTTCCCTTTCTTTTATCTCAGAAAAAAAGAAAGAAGAAATCATATAAATAAATAAATAATGTATCTTTTAAAATAACTCTTCCTAAAATTTGTTCTAGTGTGTGTCTGACCAAAATATTCTCTTACTCTTATGCTCTGATTCCGAGTTTTTTTACCTTTCTCTATCGTTTGTTTAGACCAATATCTCTGTGGCTTTTCGTGTTAAATATTTTCTCTTTGAGCTGTTCAACTGCATTTTGCCAAATTGTTAAACTCCCCCTACCCCCACCACCCCACCACCCTCAACTCTACTCCTACAACTACCACTGCCATTTTCTCCATTATATGAATCTTCTTTTCCCAATAATCTTGAAAGTTCTGTTCTTTGGTTGAAATTCTTGAATTTGCTGTAAAAATGGAATCTTTATGGTTTTAAAAAGCACCTGCTATGGATCTTGAAACAGGGGTTAATCAGAATAGAAACAAGGTAAGTGTTAAAAGCTTAGTTCTTTAGCTGGTTTTATAAATTCAGATCAATCTTAATGAGAATTATAATAAATTTTTTTGGGTTTGCAGAAAGAATCTTGGAGGACAATCTTGACATTGGCTTATCAGAGTTTAGGAGTTGTATATGGGGATTTGAGTACATCACCTTTATATGTTTATAAAAGTACTTTTGCTGAAGATATTACACATTCAGAGAGTAATGAAGAAATATATGGGGTTTTATCATTTGTGTTTTGGACATTGACTTTGGTTCCACTTTTGAAGTATGTGTTCATTGTGCTTAGAGCTGATGATAATGGTGAAGGTGGAACTTTTGCTTTGTATTCACTCCTTTGTAGACATGCTAAAGTTAATTCATTGCCCAGTTGTCAGTTAGCTGATGAGGAGTTATCAAGTTATAAGAAGGATATAATTAGTCCTGCTCCTGCCCCAACTACTTTTGGTGCCACACTTAAGTCAACTCTTGAGAGGTATAGAGTGTTGCAGAGATTTCTGCTTGTATTGGCTTTACTTGGAGCTTGTATGGTTATTGGAGATGGTATCCTCACACCTGCTCTTTCAGGTATGCCAATGTTCTTTTTGTAGTTCATAAGATTGAATTTGCCGAGGGTCTATCGGAATCAGCCTCTCTACTCCCTCGGGTAGGGGTAAGGTCTGCGTACACACTACCCTCCCCAGACCCCACTTGTGGATTTTACTTGGCCGTTGTTGTTGTTGTCATAAGATTGAATGGCCAATTCTGGTTTGACCTTCGATATGATTAGTTTTGCTGTACAAAGATTTAAGATGAAATCCCGAGTTATTGCAAGTAAAAAACCGATGAGATTATCGAAGTAAATATTCTCTACCTATGCAGCTGGGTAGGTAGAGAATACCTTGGGGCGCGAGGTATCTCTCTAAGGAGCTCGGCAAAATAGCGCCAAAGGTCCTACAAACACATATTGTTGTTATTTTTGGTTAGGAAAAGAGCTCAATAGAAGCAAGGGATCTGTATAGGAGATATCGATCACTTGTGATTAAACTAGCTAGCCGGTATTGGGATAAGGTATTAGATTTAGAGAATCCCTAATTTTAGTTAATATTGACATGAATTGGACCTGAATAGAATAGTGTGGTATAAATGATTTATATAACTGGCTTTGGCTTCAACTGACTTGGGATTGTGACATGGGTTGATTGATTGACTAAGAGTTTGGAATTTATGGTGTTTGTTAGTTTCTGACAGCATTCACTTTTTGTGGACTTTTATGCAGTTTTCTCAGCAGTTTCTGGCATTGAACTTGCTATTGGAAAAGAACATCACAAATGTAAGTTTTATCTAATCTTTTTCTGTGAGATTGTTATGCTATGTGTTGTTTCCTGAATGGCTTAACCTCGAAAGAAAATTGAATGGCTAACGGTGATTGTGTTTTTTAACCTTTAGGTCTTATGAAACATGTTCTGTCGCTTCCTTGTATATGTTATCAAGGGGAAACTTAATGCGCCTTCAAATTAAAAATTGAACAGTTTCAGCTAATCTAAGAGAAATAAGTAAGATAGTTGTTCTCTTTTATTCAGTGTTTGACTTTTATCAAAACAAAATAATTTGATTTTAAAGATTTTAAAGCAGTAGTACTTTTTCCATAGTGCATGTTTTGAAGTCATATATGGACTCAAACAGAGATCAATTCCATCTGATGGGAGCAAATGCAGTCAAAAAGCATGACTCTCCATTAAGCAGGAGCATCCAATATCACCAATATAAGTTCAAATATGCAAGCAAAGACGTAAATGCAAAATGATCAGCCAATCAATATTGATTTTAGTTTATTCCTTTCAGCGTCCTGTATATTCTCCAAACATAAGTCTATCCAGATTATTCTGTGACTCCAAAGGAGAGCGAGTATATTTAGGAGCAACCAGTAGATTCTTTTCATAAGTTAGGAGCAATAAATAGATGTTGGCAGAGTATGACCAGAAATATCCTCAGATGCGCAATATTATCGCCACTGTCCAATATTTTTGCACAATCACAATCTTATTACCACTATTTCATGGTAATAATTTCTAGGCCAACCCACTTGAGCATGTGAGTATCTCTTGTCCCATTAATTTCGTGGCCACATGGAATTTCTTGATGGTGTAAGACCAACTAACATTTAAACCATCTTCTTTAGGTAAGAAACACATCTCTCCAACCTTGACCAGAGGTCTCGGGTTCAAATACTTAGAACGGGGTAGTTCTTTGTAGGGAGAGCATCCCCCTTATTTGGTTCTATGCTGCACGAATCTTTAGTAGTAATGAATACCAGATGGTTAAAGTGTTAAAAAAAAACATTGGCCAATTGATCTGATCGGCGGATTAACTTTCTCTGCTTGACCTGGCAACAGTCTCATTTACTAGAAAACACAAACGCACTCAGAGACGTCCAACTCCCCACAACAATAAATATGAACAAATATCTGCTCAACTGCGAATCACTTCTATGCTGATTGCTGGTTACCTAACCAGTTCATGAATAATCTTAGGCCAAATCATTCGTTCTTGCATTACTTTCAAGATCCTCATAGCTTAAAATGTCCATTCCAATAGGTTTACAGCCTACTTAATCATGAAGGACCATCTAGAAGTCTCTTCCTACCATTTGAGTGATATATGCTAAGCTTGAGACTCTCCTTTTGATTAAGGAAATTAAGCTTACTTTAGACCGACTATGTTGTATGGGCGGAGTGTTGGCCAGTCAAGAACTCCCATGTCTAGAAGATGAAGGTGACTGAAATAAGGATATTGAGATGGATGTGCGGGAATACCGGGTTAGACAGAATTAGAAATGAAATTATCCGGGACAAGGTGGGCGTGGCCCCTGTGGAGGACAGGATGCAGAAGGCGAGACTAGGATGGTTCGGGCATGTGAAGAGGAGACACAGATGCACCAGTGAAGAGGTGTGAGAGGCTGGCCTTGGAGTGCCAACGGAGAGGTAGAGGCAGGCCGAAGAAGTATTGGAGAGAGGTGATTAGGCAAAATATGGCGTTGCTCCAGCTTACTGAGGACATGACCATGGATAGGAAGGTGTGGAGGTTAAAAATTAGGTTAGGTAGCCGAGCTTTGTCATTGTTTGTTATAGTAGCTTTCGTACACCACTTGTACACCAGTGAGTGTATTTCGCGTATTTTCGTATTTCTAGATTTCTGTTATTATTTGTTGCTGCCTTCACTTTGGTTTTCTAATTGCACTACCTAGTATTAGTTTTGTGTTTTCGCTTGGTTTTCTAATTGGTTTGCTTGTCATTGCCCCTTCCCTTTATCTTTCCTGAGCCGAGGGTCTACCGGAAATAACCTTCCTGCCTTTTAAAGGTAGGGGTAAGGTCAGCGTACACACTACCCTTCCCAGACCCACTTGTGGGAATACACTGGTTTCTTGTTGTTGTTCTGGTACTCTATTGTTTTCTTTCCTTTTATTTGATTTGTTTGTTTTATTTAAAATCGTCTAAATCATTCAAAATAGTATTTAATTCCTATGCTCAAAATGACATGATATCCTTGTAAAATATGTCATTTGCAGATGTAGAAGTTCCACTTACTTGTGTCATACTGATAGCCTTGTTTGCCCTTCAGCATTATGGCACCCACAGGGTTGGATTTTTGTTTGCACCTGTTGTCATAACATGGCTTGTGTGTATCAGTGCTATTGGTGTGTATAATATTGTACAATGGGACCGCCATGTGTACCGAGCACTGTCTCCATATTACATGTACAAATTCCTGAAAAAAACTCAAAGAGGAGGCTGGATGTCCTTGGGAGGGATCCTCCTGTGCATAACAGGCAAGATATAGTTGTCAGTTGTTTTATGATTAATCTGCTACTTATCTTCCTTTGGTTCCATGATCACTAAATACGCAAATATATTCTTTCAGGTTCTGAAGCAATGTTTGCTGATCTAGGACACTTCTCCCAATTGTCAATACAGGTAGATATCTAACTAATTGCTAAATAACAGGGTGCATATTTGATACAGTATAAGCAAAAATGAGAAGCCATAAGTGTGACAACGGTACACTTTTTTCCTTTGGTTGAACTTAGTCTCTTGGGTGCGCTGAAATAAGTAGAGTACATGATAATCAGAAGTCGCTAAAGTTATTTTATAGCTAGAATAAATAATAAAGCAGGTCATCTCCAATAGCTTAAGCTTTTAGATGAGATGGTTGTAGTTTCAAGTTCAACTCTCAACACAACCCGTCAGAAAATATTTTCATGTGCCTAGCCTTAGAAAAAGAATCAGGCCGCACATAAGGGATGTCTTGGAGACCTAAAATAAATAATAAAAACGGAACATTTCCAATAGTTTAAGCTTTAGGATTAGACGGTTAAACAATTCAACTAAAATATAGGCAATGCCCTTAGTACCCCCAACAGAAAAGCTTTGAGCAGCGTTTGTGACCAGGGGGTTGATTCTAAGTTTGCCCATTCAATTTCCATGGGATTTATTACTGCTTTGCATTTTGACATTCTATTATCAGTATCACCCTTTCTAAATTTTCGTGGCATCCGAATCGGGTTACCCTTGCACGACGAAGACTGGCCCCTATGTTTTGCTTTCTATGAGTGAAGAATTTAGCCAACTTTCAGATTCATTTTGACTAAATGGATGTGATTACAATCTGATGAGAATGTCTAATAAGGAGAGGGATAGAGATGAACTAAGGTTAGTTAGAATAGTTTTGAGGTACTGCAGCTCTTGGAGGTTCTCCTTTTAGCTATAGAAAAAGAGAAAGCTGAACACAGCTTATTGTTTGCATATAGCCCGGCTTGTGAGATATAACATTGTCTAAGAAACTAATTTCCCTTTTGCAGATTGCTTTTACCTTCATGGTTTATCCATCACTGATTCTAGCATATATGGGACAAGCTGCTTATCTTTCACAGCATCATGTTATTGAAAATGAAAGCTATCGAATAGGCTTCTATGTTTCTGTACCAGGTATGTATTTTCCTAGTTGCTTTTATGGCGAAAAGAATAAGGCTAGAAGAAAATTGAGCTGATGAAGGACATCTCAAATTTTTGTTCCAGAGAAACTAAGGTTGCCGGTTCTGGTGATTGCTATACTTGCCGCCGTGGTGGGGAGCCAGGCCATTATCACTGGAACCTTTTCAATTATTAAACAATGCTCCTCGCTGGGTTGCTTTCCTAGAGTCAAAATAGTGAATACGTCATCCAAAATACATGGGCAGATATATATTCCAGAGATTAATTGGACCTTAATGCTACTATGCTTGGCTGTTACTATTGGCTTTAGAGACACCAAAAGGATGGGCAATGCTTCAGGTATGAATGTGATGATATGAATAAGGGAAAGTAATCTTTGATTAGTCGAAATCATTTATCCTTCTTGGATGTAGTGTTAAACTTGAAATGCCTTTATTTGAGTTCCAAAGATTCAATCTTGATTGACTGCTCAATTTTATATTCCAGTCACAACCATGCAGTTGGAGTCCTACAATAAAGTTATTTCTTGAATATGTTCCCCCCCGTCAAGGGGGACCAATTTTCATGTTCAATTTCCCTCTGCATAAATTTCTGTAAAGGGCAGCCAGGTGCATAAAACATCTTGCATTCACGCAGGGTTCGGGTGTGTGATGTAGACAGCCTACCCTAATGCAAGCGTTAGTGCTGCTTCACGGCCCGACCCATGACCTATAGGTCATACGGACTATGGAGACAACTTTACTCTTTTGAAATTCATTTCGCACTTATTTACACAACGGATACGAGGATCTCATAGAAGATAAGACTGTTTTCCATGCTAAATGATATTCATAACTAATCCTCACTAATTTTGCTTCGTATCAGGTTTGGCAGTCATAACTGTCATGCTAGTTACGACTTGCTTGATGTCGTTGGTGATTGTTTTGTGCTGGCGCAAGAGTGTCCTCCTTGCACTTTGCTTTGTTATATTCTTTGGGACGATTGAAGCCTTATATTTCTCAGCTTCTCTGATTAAATTTTTGGAAGGAGCATGGGTGCCTATTGCCATAGCCTTTACTTTCATGATAGTAATGTGCATTTGGCACTACGGCTCTTTAAAGAAGTACGAATTTGATGTCCAAAATAAGGTCTCTGTTGAGTGGCTACTCGGTCTTGGTCCAAGTCTAGGCATTGTACGGGTTCGTGGCATTGGCCTCATACACACTGAGCTTGTATCCGGAATCCCAGCAATCTTTTCACACTTTGTTACCAATCTTCCGGCATTCCACCAGGTCTTAGTTTTCCTTTGTGTCAAATCTGTCCCAGTTCCTCATGTTAAACATGAGGAGCGTTTCCTGGTTGGACACATTGGCCCAAGAGAGTACCGCATGTACAGGTGCATTGTCAGGTATGGTTATCGCGATGCTCACAAGGATGATTCAGAATTTGAGAATGATCTTGTATGTAGCATAGCAGAGTTTATACGAACAGGAAGGACAAGGTTGAATGTTAACGGTGAGGATCTTAGAAAGGATTTCGAGGACATGACTGTTGTTGGAACGCCTTCTACTCATTTATCAGGAGTTCAATTTTGCGAGGATGAGGATGTAAATGCTGAATTAGTTGGACCATCAGAGCGTAGAGAAATACTTTCTCCACGCGTAACCAAGCCTAAGAAAAGGGTGAGGTTTGTCATACCAGAATCTCCCAAGATTGATAGAGGTGCACAGGAGGAGTTGCGCGAACTAATGGAAGCAAGGGAAGCTGGCATCGCTTACATATTGGGACATTCCTATGTAAGAGCCAAACAAGGATCTAGCTTATTTAAGAAAATAGTTATAAATTTTGGATATGACTTTTTGAGAAGGAACAGTAGACCACCTACATACACATTAAGTGTACCCCATGCTTCTACTTTAGAGGTAGGAATGGTTTACAATGTATGATTCTTAGCATACAGGAAAAAAACAAATAATGAATGTTGTACATGTGTTTGTAGCTTTTTTTGTGAATAGAAGAAAAGTTGAGTAACATTTTACCATATGATTGATTGAGATTGAGAAATATCTACCACTGACAGCCCATATTCTTGTATACTATTTGATCTTTTTCAGTTGCTATCTTGTTTGGAAAACAAGGAAACAACTTTTTCCATGCGGTTCTTTATGTGTCTTACAATAGCAGGAAAAGTTTTAAGGAAATTGTAGGAGGGGAAATGTCCATTTGTGTCAAAAAAGAGCTTTTGACACTACAATGAGCTGATTTACTGTGGGCAGATTCACCTACTGTTTTTGACTCCAGGCGAATTGAAATTTGTTTAAACAGATACTATATATTTATACTAAGTCCAAATCTATTGTCAAAAAGAGGCGATAGACACATTGCTATTCCCCACCCACAGGCTTGAAATACTGGATTTTGTAACACAAACCAATCCCGGAGCTAGGTGTTGGCAAGGAGTTTCAATTGAATCCCCTTGGCCGGAAAATTACACTAGTAAAGATTCTAGAGTAGTGGCTAGGGGTGTCAATGGTTCGGTTCGGCCGATTATTTTATAAAATTTGTACCATACTAATTTTTCGGTTATTCTATTATGTATAACCAAAATTAGACTTTTCGAAACCGTCCCAATCATGTCGGTTTCTCTTCGGTATCGGTACGATTCGGTTAATTTTCGGTATTTTTTTTAATATCATGTAAAATTCACCAGTAGAAGTAGAATGCTATAACATACGTTCTTTTATAGGACTTAGCAAAACTCTCTAGGCATTTTTACGGTTTAAAGGGTGATGAATTAAAAAAAAAAATAAGATGGCTAGAGTATAGATCCATCAACTATTCTACAACAACGTAAAAGAAATCAAACAAAGGCAAAGAAAATATAAATCACATGAGTTGAAAGATATACCAAGCTGAGACTCAAGAATAAAGTCTATAAAAGATTAAATATTCAAAAAGATAAATCTAAATTATATGAAAGGAAACATATTCAATACATTGTAGTTTGCTACTCATAATCGCTAGAATACTTTGTATCTTGCTAATAAAGATACTTGAAATAACTTAGTTTAAGTAGAAGTAGCATAATAGGTTTTAGGAATTGGTATTTTGAGTTTAATTACTTGTTGGCTTGCAATAGTTTTCATAATTCCAAGGCCCAAAGAAAATTTAATGCATTATTATTTTTAAACTTACTAAATAAATATATTTTCCACATGTAAAATTTATTCCGTACGGTTCGGTATTTTTTCGGTTTATTTTTATAAAATAAAAAACCTACCCTAATTATCGGTGCAGTTATAGATTTATATAAAAACCTACGATTTCTTAAAACGAAACCTAAAAATCGGTTCGGTGCGGTACGATTCGGTCGGTTTAGTCGGTTTTCGAATATCCATTGACACCCCTAGTAGTGGCAAAGGGATTCAAAAATTATTTTATGTCAAAGACCAATCTAATTTTTTTTTTGTTGCTCTGTTTACTCAAATTCCTAGCTCCGCCACCGTCACAAATATAGTAACCAATTATTAGATCAGATACATATCATTAACAACAGTTAGTTGACACCATAACGTTAAATAATGAATTAAAAGAGAAGAGCTACATGGTGAATATAATAAAAGTAGTACTCTAAGTATCAATTTCTCAGGAAAGGGCTTAAAGAGGAGCTGAAAATTTAAGTACTCAAATTTAGAAACGAAGAAGTTGGATATTTCTACTAAAACTGAGAGGAAAAATGGTTTGTCTCACCTATTAGGTCTCATTCTTGTCATAAACAATAGTCAGTCAATGCAAAACCAAAAGAGCGTGGTGGATTCGATGTGGATGCATAAATATGTATGACTCTGTGCCTAGAAAGATTAATCTTCTGTTCTTCAATTTATGAGCTTTTCTTCCTTTCTTTTCTCGTCTTTGCTTAAACAAACAATATTACATATAACTAAGTAGCATCATAGTCTTTTACAACTCGTGACTCTTAGTGACCTGATCAACAACAAAATTTGAAGGGTTTTACAACATACTAAACCCTCCTGGTCACTACAACAACAAAATTTGAACATTTGTTCCTAACAATGGTAATCAGCTGCATCTAATACAAGTAGAAGTAGTTACAGTGGTGGTAGTAGTAGTGGAGTTGTTTGCCAAAGCATCAGCTAGTTAGTTTTTTTCCCTGCACACATGCATGATACAACACATCAACCTGCAATCAACCACAATATGAATGTATAAGTCGTTCTTCTTATTGAGAAAGCAATATAAGAGCTAAGTACCAGTTCAAGTACCCCCAAAAGGTTAGTTTAATTTGTAAATAAGCATACATCAACCAGTTTGACGTACGTTCAATTTTTACGTGGACCTAACCAAGAGAAATCTTCATGTAAATTCTCTAGTTTGCTCACGAGTTGTGTGCCTTTTATTACATTACAAAGAGAATTAACCTGAGGATGTGTAAGTTCATACATGGATATCCTTACCCCTAAAGGAAGATTTTACTGAGAGGATGAAGAGATACCATTGCTTCCTACATCTGGAGGTGATTAAGGTTTCACAACAGTTGAATAAAGGAAGCAAAGTATGTCAAAGTAAATTAAAAAAACAACTCAGGAGTGTATAGCTTGAAAAATCAAAAGAAGTTGTCCTATCTGTAAAGAGGAAAAATATGAAGTGAAAAAAAGGTGGTGTAAATTTCAGAATATTTTGGATAAAGCAAATCAGCATGTTGAAGAGGATACACCAACATGCAATAAGATGAACCCGTGCCAAGACAATACACACATTTCTGGACTTTTCTGGACCCAACCACTATAAAACTCCAAAATTCACCGGCAGTAACACAAGAAGCATAGGATCTGAAGCCACAAATTCATAATATGTAACCTTCAAACACTGCTTAAAAAGTGAAAGAATGCCCAATATCTTTTACATAGAATGCAGAAGCTACCAAACACTACAAGGGGAAATGTTCTTGTAAAAAGTGGTTGTTCCTCAAAAATACGCAAAAATAAAAAGGTCAACAAAAATCTCTAAGCAGATGTGGTGTAAAGATGGTCCTTTGAATATGCAATGCATTTTTCCATATTTGACAAAAGAAGCAGAAATGAACAACACGTGAAAAATGTACGGACACTTACAAGTTGTTAGCTACACAACAGTCAGTTACCTGAGTTGTTCAGCCTTTCAATGTTGTAGAGTTGGACAAACCAGGCTTCCAATGTAAAGTTTCGCCTCAAGCCTATCAACGTTAGTAACCACTGGATGTCTGATTGAGTCATCCTCTGGATTGTATATTGTTAAAGTTGATTCAAACACATGCAAAATTTCAGATTTCTTTGACATGCAAATGGGTGGATGATAAGAGGCTGAATTTAGGTAATTTAGGGATTATTTATGCTCCCGTTTGATTATGTTCCGATGTCATAATGTGGTTAATTGATTAAAAATGGGCTCTAATTGTGAATTGTACACATTGCAGGATGAGGAGTCTATGTGATGCCTTAAAGAGGTGATTGGAACTACTTTAGAGCAAAAACGACCCCTCGGAGCTAAGTACGCACGAAGACGAGGAAAAAAATCAAGGAATTGAGGACCTGGGCTAGCGCGCCCAGGTGCGCGCCAGCGCTAATTTAGCGCGTTCAAAACAGTAGGATTGGCCAACTAGCGCGGTCAAATGCGCACCCATATGCGCGACCGCGCTAGTCCGAATTCCGGAAATTGTTTGTCAGGGGTATAATTGGAAATCTGGAGGAAACCCCACTTAACCTATATAAAGTCAAGCTCGCCCAAGGATTATTTATCAAGGTTTTCATAGTCTAGTGGGAGAAATAGAGAGGCAAGAGGCAAGGAGGAAAATTAACCATCAAGTTCTTCTTTTCTTCCCTTTATTTTTGCTAATTGTGCTGAAATTGAACCTTATTGTGATGAACATGAGTATGAGTGGCTAAACACCCATTGTTCTGGAGTTGTGATTTATCCATGAATATTGTTGTTTGATATTAGCTTGACCTTGATTATAATTCACCACTATATGGTTGTTTCTTCAATTCTGTGTTTAATTGCTTAATTGTCTGGCCAACAGTTAGGTTCTATTTACTATCTATGCTATGCTTGGGAAAGCCATGTTTAGATTAGAGAAGAATTGAATAGAGCATGATCTTAACCCTTAGGGGGAGCGGATTTGTGGTTAGGATAGGAATATACCTAGTCACCGTGCTTAATTAAATATCGTGATCTTAATGCGTTCTTAATAGATTGATTTCATAGGAATATAGGCGTTAATCTATTTAGAATAGGTGAGTAGTACTTCGGGAGAAGGCTATGAGAGCATCTATCGATTAATTAGCAACCATGAGTGAATTATATGAAAGGGAGAGTTAATTAGAACACAATACGAATGGTGAATCGATCACAACCCTGGAATACTTGTCTCTACTGAATACACAACAATCAACTCGTTACTTGATAATTTAGTTATTATTTAGAATCATAGTATAGTATAATCATATTATTGGACTTTGCTTTTAGCTAGATTGAATAACAAGTTTAGTGATTTAGTGAGTAGTTTATACAAGTCTCTGTGGGTTCGACACTCAACTTATCATTATATTACTTGTCGACCACGTATACTTGCGTGTGCGTTTGGGAGCAACAGTGGAGAAAGCACGCAATATTTAGGGTCATTAAGATAGTTGATGGTATGCAATTTCGTCTGAGATTCTTTAACCCCATACTCCTTCAGAACCCACACATCAGCACTGAGTTAGCTCATAATTACAGAGCACGGATAAATCAGTTCCCAACACTCCAAGCTTCAAATGAAACTCTCTTTCTTCGTAGAGGGGTTGCTCCATCTTCCAATAATTGTCATCAGCCAAATCAATAGACATAATGCCCCAACCATCACCACCCATAGTTGCCCAGTGAAATTTCCCACTCACCAACTTAGCTGAACGATCGAATAACAACCCTCCTTGAAAATTATCAAGTGTTCTCCAAGAAACACTCTTTAAACTATATATTTCCACATAGCCATGAGTGAATCTAGAGGAAATATGCACAACCTTAAAATCATTATGAACCTTATCATATCCAAAACCAATGATGTACATGTAACTTAACATCTTTTCATACGCAGTTGTTTGAACTGTCTAGTTGATGGATTCCACAGAATCTAAGTCATCATTCCCGATGCAAAGACAAATAAAATCATTGACAGAACCCACAATATTATGGATGTTTTTCATGGGATAATCCAAGTCAAATGTCTAGGTAACTGACCCATAAAAAAAAGAACTAACAGAACAATGTTTAAGATTCTGCTGAAGACATTTGAGCTTAAGTGAATCAAATTTATCTAATTTCAGCATCAATCTATGGCTGGTGCAATCCAAACTCAGGACTAGATATTAAATCAAACCAGTCTTTTGAAACACATTTAAACTTCAATAGATATTTCACAGGAAGCCTTACAAGGATATCAGCGATGAGTTCTCGGGGCAAGCTAGGGTTTGTCAACATTGAAACTCTTTGTTTTTCGGGATTCGAAATCAGTTTTAATTTATTATATTTGGAGGGAGCAAAATGCATTAATTGACTCCAGATACACCCCTTACCGTTAATATGCACACAATTTAAGTCCTCTTAATATATTACTACTAAAATTTTGTTGCCTTTTGTTTTAACAAGGCCAGTTCCATTGACAGCCCCTAAAGTTGTCAAGATTTTTCATTTAGATGCCTCAATTAAGGTTGTGACCTATTAGATACTTGAACTACCACTAAAGTGTGCTATTAAACATGAAACACTTACACGGCAATTGTTCTGTTGCTCACACACATTTGAGTGCGTAGGCTAATTTATTTAACCTGCTTTTACTTTTTTAACGGTTAGTCCAAAGCTCAAAAAAAAAAAATGCAGCTATTTTGTATTATTTCATCGTCCTTATTTTTTTTAACCAAACAACTAAAGTTACCAAATCGTTTCCTCTCCATGGATTGACTTCTTGTTGTACATAATGTGTTTTAATATGATATTTAAAGTTAGTCCAGGAACATGTTATGCTGCGCAGTCATTATCTTTGAAGGGCTAACATTAATTACAGACTTACAGTACAATCTAGCAATCAATTTCATCTGTTTGGTGCACTTCACTCCTGCAGCTCAACCACTGAAGACGTAGTACAAGAAAGAGATCATTCAAATTGATGTAAGCCTTGGAAATGTAAGTTTTTTTTTCTTTGGTTATGTTAAAGAGTATTTCACCTAATGTAATGATTTTTTCTTTGGTTATGTACTTATGTTAAAGAGTATTTTCACCTGATGTAATGATAACTGATGTCCAACAATCAAGTTTCCTCTCGTTCGTTTTCTTCTTTCAAATTTTCAGATCTCTTAAATTAGGTTTACATTGAGTGCATAAGTATGCCTCAGAATTTGGTACTATCGTGCATATTTAACAAATAATATACTACTATTATTAATATCATTATACCTTTGATTTAGGGCTGTATTGAATAAATAATGTACTACTTTTAGTACACCAGTACATCCAAGAAAATAACAGAAGATAAATGGAAATGGAACAAGTTAACCAAAGGAAATGGAAATCGATATAAGATTCTAAGTCCGGTTCCTTTTGCTGATGACCTGATCTTACTTGCTGAAGCAACCAAAGAAAATCATAAAAACTTACTAAACTCTGCTCTCTATCGGGACAAAGTACAAACTTTGACTAGTCCAGAATTGTCCTCTCAAACAATACCAAAATGTCAATTAAGAGACAGATCTCCAAATGTATGACTATAAAATTTACTCAAAAACTTGGTAAATACTTGCGCTTCCCTATGATAAGAGATAGAATTACTAGAAAGAACCAGGGGGAGCTTGATTTGTACAAATAAAAATGGGAAATCCAGGAAAATGGGGAATATGGGGAGTGATCAGAGACACAAGGGGGAACTGGATTGCAGTATTTAGTCAGCACATTCCACATGCTATAAATATATACACTGAACTTCTTGCACTTATAACAACAATCAGAATTTCCCTAGAACGAAGCATAATGCCTTAAGTTATAGAAACTAACACGTAAGAGTATGTGTTTAAGACCTAAAATAAATATAAAAAAAATTAACCCTCTCAGATATTTAAGTTTTTTAAATGAGACGTTTACAATATTCGACAATATACACGATGCTTTGTACTCCAAATAGAAAAGCTTTGAGCAGCCATTTTGGTGAGCAGTGGTTGATGCTACTATTGCTTTCCATGTTAATATTCTGCTGATTGTAATCACTCTTGTCAAAGAGCTAATAATGAAGTTCCCAGTTGTTGCTGACGTAATTACAATCTGATGAGATGTCTAATAAGGAGAAGGAATCAAACTTGGAGATGAACTAATGGTCAGTTAGAAAAGTTTGAGGTACTGCATTGCTTGGAGGTTCTCATTTTGGCTATAGAAGGGATACCTGAACCCAGTTTATTTTTTACATATAGCGAGCTTGCGTATTTCTACCAGAGTGAGATATAACATTGCCTAAGAGACTAATTTCCCTTTTGCAGGATGCTTTTACTTTCATGGTTTTAGTCAATAGTATCACCAAAGAGAAGAAGATTCAGCCTTTTGATTGACAAAATAATTAATAAAAATAATTAGATAGGCATAAAGAAATAACTGCAAGCTATTAACAGCAACAAAAGACACCCAAACTTGATGATATTTCACAACTTAACTATTTCAGAGATTCCTCCGCCTCTTCATTAAGTGTCACTAAAAACCAACATTAAAGAAAGCCCTAGATCAAACAACGACCCTGCCAAGGACTATATAAGCTAATTATTATTAGCAATCAAGTTAGCCTTAGTCTTACTTTGTCTAGTGGAACAACATATACCCTTAAAACACTGCTTAAAAGAGAGAGAATGTCCCATGTCATTTACTTAGAATGCAGAAGCACCAAACACTACAACCAAAAATGTTCTTGCAAAAGTTGTTGTTCCTCGGAAATATGCAACAACAAAAAGGATTACCAAGATACTTAAGCAGATGTTTTGTAAAGATGGCCTTTAAATATGGAATATATTGTTCGATATTTGACAAAAGAAGCAGAATTGAACAACACGCAAAAAATATAAAATTCTTACAAGTTGTTACTTACACAACTGTCGTTCACCTGGGTTTTTGCACCCTGCAATATTTCTGGTGTTGATTTATTTTGTAAAATAGGAGAAACCAGGCTTTCAATGTAGAGTTCTGCTTCCACCGCAAGACTGTCACTGACATTAGTAACCGTTGGATATGTGATTAAGTCATTCTCTGGATTGTATATCGCTAAAGTGAAATCAAACACATGCAATATTTCACCTTTACTTGACATGCAAATGGGTGGGAAAAGCAGCTAGCTCTCTGGGGGGACATTAGGGCATTTGAAGGTATACAGTTTTATCCAAGACTCTTTAACCCCATACTCCTTCATAACTCACACATCAGCTCGAATTACATAATCATTACAGAGAACAGAAAAATCATTTCCAACACTCCAAGCGTAAAAAATTTCCGCCCTTCTTCATAGCGGGGCTGCTCCACCTTTCCATATTTCTCATCAATCAAATCAATAGACATGATGATCCTACCTTCACCCAGATTGACCCAGTGAAGCTTCCTACTCTCCAATTTAGGCCAATGATTATATGCCAGCTGCCCTTGAATATCATCAAGTCTTCTCCAAGAATCATTCTTTAAACTATATATACTGACACATGCACAAGTCAGTTCAGAGAAAACAGCCACTACCTTATAATCATCATTAACCTCATCATATCCAAAACCATATATGTACTGACACTCAAAATCCAATGCAGGCATATTCATAATATCAGGCATATGCTTAAATTTTCTAGTTGATGGATTCCACAGAACCAAGCATTTAAACCCAATGGAAAGACAAATCAACCCATTGACAGAACCCACAATATCAAAACGATCATCGGGAGTTTTCGTAGGAATATCCAAGTCAAATGCATCAGTAGAAAACCCAAAAAATAAAAGGCTAACAGAACAATATTTAAGATAAGTCATAAATTGCAACATCAACCTATGGCGGGTGCAATCCTTAGCATTAAAACTAAGATGGGTATTAACAAATTCATGGCTAGATATTAAAGAAAGCCAGTCTTTCGAAACACGCTTGAACTGTAAGAGGGACTTCACAGGAAGTCTTACAAGGATTCAATGATGAGATCTTGTGGCAAGCTAGGGCTGCTCTGTTCAAGAGAGGCTTCAACGTCCATTTGAAAGATTTTTCAAAACAAAATTCCTCCAGCTTTTTCAATTTATATATTGTGACTTATGAAAATAGAACCACTGATCGCTTTTTTATTTCATTGTGCTGCGTAAAGAATGGCTGAAAGTGCACAAATAGCCAATTTTAAAATCTAGCTAGTATTTAATTAATCATTTAAAGTTTAACGACTTTGTTATAAGTATATAAATTTTCCTTCGTTAAAGACCTGTTTCCAGTAAATTCGATCTGATATATGTAGTTTCTTATGCTTCTAACTGAAATTTCAATATGTGCTTCCTCCATTGAGCTTGTCTTGAACTAAATAAGTAATAGACTTATCCCACTTCGTATTCTTATTGCCTAAACAACACTAACTCTTTTTTCTTTTTTTACTAAGAATAGATCAGAAATACAAAATTCACAATGAGACAGTGGTGAATTCATGCATATGTAACCAAATAAGTCATGCTGAATTAATGCCAATATCGGCCAAACCAATCAGATGCATAACTCTACTTACATCAATGTCGAATGATGAATTCATGTAAAATACAGCGGTGCACTTGCCACCATCAAATCTTGGGTTCACCTATGCATGGAAGAGCTTCCTCTTCTTGAAGACAACAATCTCTTATTGTTCTAATGCAGTTGTACTAGTAAAAGTTGACGAATTAATCATTTGTTATTAATGAAATTTGATGTTTAATATGTTAATTTCGCCTGAGAATGTCACATTTTTATTTTTATTTCAAAAAAAATCTAATTTTGACTTCATATTCTTATATTTGAATTAATAATATCATTGAAATAAGAAAGAGGGATATATTCGAACTTGAATCGCAATGTAAGGGAAAAGATTGTGGTTCGATTCCACAGCGTGCTTCTTTTATCCCATCAATCAATGACTATTGCACAAAAAGAAGAAAGAGGCTCGAGGTTATAGTATAGATAGGGAGTGAAAGTTCATAACATTACTTGGGATGGGAAAAAGTAAACAGACCCAGCCTTTGCTCCAATTGGAGCTTCTCCTCTTCGACTCGAGAGATTTCTTGCGAAACTTCTTGACGTCTTAGAAAAGAATCAGTGGAAGAAACGTGTCTCTTAGAGGAAAGGAATAACAATTTATTCCTATAATTTATCCTATAGAAAATCTAGTAACAAAAAGATTTAATCAGAAAAATCGAAAATTCTTGTGGTCTCTTCATTTCATTTCAGGAAGAAGAAGAAAGACGAAGTTCTTCTATCCATTTGAGGATGAATTATAGTTCCATATCCAGCAAGGAAGACAAGCGCATAAATTGAATTTCTGACCGACTCTTCTAAATAATTTCGAATAGTTGTGATAAAAAAAACAACCTCAGGTATTATAGTCAAACATAATACAATAGAAGCAAAAATGAGAAGCAAGCATGAGAAGCACTAAGTGTGACAATGGTCCGTTTCTTTTCTCCTTTCAGTGGTGCATTGAAATGAGTATAAGATTGAGTAAATGGTAATCAAAGGAGGCTAAAGTTATTGATGATAAAAACAAATAATAGAATGAACTTTTCTAATAATTTAAACTTTAAGATAAGATGATCATAAATTCATCATGTTATCGGAGGTTCTAAGAAAAAGATTCGGATCGCAAGTAAAAGAATGTGTTTAAGACCTAAAATAAATATTAAATATTAACCTTCTAATATTTAAGTTTTTAAATGAGATTGTTACAATATTTAACTATATATGCGATGCACTGTGTGAAAGTACAAGGGGGGGGGGGTTTGAATTGTGATCCTTTTTGTTATGGCTAATTAGTCGACTAGTTTACCAGTTAGTCGACTAAAAATTGGTGTGAGCTAAATATTAATAACAGAATGTAAAGTGCACAAAGCAAATAACGCCGAATATTTTATACTGGTTCGGATTAAATGTGAATCCTAGTCCAGTCCCCTTATTTTACAAGAGGGTTCTCTCTTCAAAGCTCGAAACTAAAGTTTACTCTCAATGACGCGATTCATTTAGATGACCGATTCCTCAGGAGGATAGTCTTTCCTTCAGTGGCTTGATCGAAAAGTTTAAGAGAATTCTTAGAAATTGTGGTTGTCCCTTTAGTGGCTTGATTGATAGTTGAAGTGGATTCTTAGAGATCGTGATCTTCCTTTATTTTGGACTTTCTTTCCTTGACGCGCATGAATTGTGTTCTATCGGACGGATATGATTCTGCCATCTTTGAAGCATTATGGGTTAGCACCTTCCTTTGCTTTTGGAATGTACCTGCAATTACGAGTAATGTTATTTTTCATCATTAAAACTTGAATCTAACAATATACTGCTTTTTGATGATGACAAAATGACAAAGGTTACTTTAGTTTACTTCCATGTTTATGTTACTTCAGCTATAGTCGACTCTCCCTCAACTGGAAGCTTCTCTTGTGTGAGCGTGTTCTTTTATAAGCTGACTCCCCCTCAATAGGGCAGACAAAAACCTTTACCTGCATCCCCTACATCTTACTTTCTCCTCCTTTGGCATCAACAAAAAGTATTATACCAGTAAAAACATGTAAACAAGTAATAACCACTAAGTTAAGCATGCAAAAGCAGGAGTAATTGTATAATCATTATAACACTATGACCGGATAGTCAATCCAAAAAGAAGCAAAAAAAATTTATCTTAAACATCCAACAACCAACAACTGCATCAACGATACATAAAATATGTGAGAGTGTTGTAGATAGCCTCCTTGAGGCGGTCAAAGCTTGCATTCACGGGGACTGATATCCCGTCAATTCTGTCATAAATTTCCTTGAAGGCTTTCACTGCATTTTTTGTTGTCCTGAGAAGTTTGACTCGTATCTTGGACACATCAGAACCTGTCTCCTTTGTGATATCATGAATGTCTCCAACTATTGTTTTAGTAGAGACGAGCGGGTCTTTGATGATTGTCAATTATTCATTGATGGTAGTCAGCTTTTCCACAAGATCAGGGTCACAAACACTAGGCTGGGAGACAGAGGACTTAGCTTTGGAGCCAGTCGAGACAATTTTGGCTTTACCATCTTGCTTCTTTACCCAAGTGCCTTACATAAGAACATACCTCATACTAGCAAAGGCTCTAGAGTTGTAGGACTTGATTACAGTGACATATGGATAGTTGGAGTGTGAGATATTATGGGCTTCAAGAAGGTGGGTGATAACAATACTATAGGGAAGACTTATGGGATCATCAACACTCTCAATCATAAAATGATGACCTAGAAGGACAATTTGACTTTATGTTTGGTCAAGAAATAGTAGACCATAAAGGTGTCCTGTTGGGAAAAGTTTGAGAATGATCCAGCACGGGAATGAAGAGTGGTTGCCACAATGTGTGCACAAACTCTAGTTTCAAAACTTACATCACCGGGTCTAAGGGAATAGGTGGGTGAATCATCTATACAACGCTTTGCTTGATCAAAAGAGCTTTCAAAATCTTCGGGCCAAGTATTTTTGATAACATTGAAATTTCAGAGCACTTACACTGGAAGATAGAATCAAAGAGGCACAAGCCAGAATAATGATATCTGGTCGACTAGTAGTTAAGTATAACATCGATCTAATCATTCCTCAGTACTTAGTTTTGTCCATTGATTTTTCTTTCTCATCTTTGTCAAGGGTACTTGACGGACTGATATGCGTTCCAAGCGCTTTAGCATTGCTCATACCAAGTTTTTTATTAATTCCTTAGTGTAATTCATTTGACAAATGATTGTGCCCTTTTTGCTCTTTTCTTATTGATGAATTTGTAGTCAAGGAAGAATGAAAGTTCCCCTATCATACTCATGTCTAACTCACTTTGCATGAGATTTGAAAAATCCTTGCATAGAGCAAGGTTAGTACTTCCAAACATAATATCATCGACATAAATTTGAATAATGACATTACATGCGGAGGATATCTTATTAAATAATGTCGTATCTATTTTATCTCTCATGAATACATGATCAGTTAGAAAAAAGCTCAGCCTTGAATACCAGACTCGAAGAGCTTGCTTAAGTCCATAGAGGGCTTTAGTCAACTTACACATGATAAGAAAATTGTGAGCTTTTAAATCCAGGAGCTTGTTTACATATACCACCTCGTCAATGAAACCGTTTAAAAAGGCACTTTAACATCCATTAGAAATAAGTTAATACCTTTAGCAGATGCATAAGATAGCAATATACAAATTGATTCTAACCAAGCTACGGGAGTAAATGTTTCATTATAGTCGACTCCTTCCTATTGTGAGTAGCCTTGAGCAACTAATCTAGCCTTGCTTCTAACCACTTTGCCATCTTCATCCAACTTGTTTCTGAATACCCATTTGGTTCCAATGATTCCAACATTTGCTGGCTTAGGTACCAATTTCCATACTTGATTTTTATCAAACTATCTCCAGAAGAAAAAAGTCAATATAACATGTGTCCAGGAGACTAGGTGAGTACGATCGGAGGCGACGGATGCGCATGAGTTTAAATTGTGGTATTCTGAAGGCATGAAGGGTAAGAACGAAGTGGGTATTTTGGTGGACAGGGAACTCAGAGAGACGATGGTAAAGGTCAGATGGGTCAATAATACATTGATGGCTATTAAGTTAGTGGTTGAAGAGCTCATTCTGAATGTCATAAGCATCTACGCACCCCAAAGGGCTTGGATGAGGAGGTTAAGAGGCGTTTCTGGGAGGGTTTGGATGAGGTTATGCATGGTATTCCGTTCACTGAGAAGTTATTTATAGGAGGGGATTTCAATGGGCATATTGGGGTGACTGTTGGTGGCAATGGCGAGGTTCAGACGACTTCGACTTTGGGAATAGGAACGGAGGAGGTACTTCACTGTTGGATTACGCTAAGGCTGTTAAGTTGGTGATTGTAAACTCTAGTTTTACGGAGAGGGGGGAGCATTTGGTTACTCTCCAAAGTATAGTAGCTAAGACTTAGATTGATTATCTCCTCCTCAAGAGGTGTGATAAAGGGATGTGCAAGAATTGCAAGGTTATCTCGAGTAGT